AGCTTTAGGAGCAAAGGAAAATTTAATGTTTGAAATCTCCACATCAGATCAAGGCAAGATCAAGTTTTTGTACAAATGCAAGAAAATTTTTCTTTCCCAGTGTAATTTATTTGGAATTTGAAATTTATAACTTAACAATTATTGTCATAATAACTTAACAATTATTACAGAACAGTTTTTCAATTAACAATTCTACATTCATTTTCTCGTACCTCATTCCCGGTACCATCTCATCAAAAGTACAATGTTGTCTAAAATAAACGTTAAACACGAGTCCATGATGAATTATTAATTTTAATTTCTCATCCAAATAAATGATCAATAACGGTTTTAATACTTAAATTTGAATAATTATATCGTACTTAATAAGTCTGTTTTCTGTTTTTATAATATTCTTTCATGCTAGGTTTTCTTCGGAGTAAAAGGGTTTAGTGAAAATATTTTAATCAATAAATACTGTTGTTATGTCAATATGTAAATTGACGCAACAATATTACACATTGTGAATAATTGTTACTCCAATATATTATGCAATAAATTCTATTCTATGTTTCTACGTCTTACATAACACTTGATAGATGAGTATTTATGAGGTATCAAATATCGGCTAATTATTTGTGTTACATCTATAAATTATGTGAATGTGGACGAATTCGCAAATTAAATTAAATTCTCTCTTGTACTAGTAAAATATATAAAAAATTAACAGTAAATGCATATTAACGAATATGCGATTGGGGTATTAATGTGAAAAATGTAACCTTCGAGCCTTACTACTTCATAACCAAAATAAAAAATTTATTTATAAATAAACAGAAAAATGCATACCATTTTCTCTTGAAAATGGAAACTCAAGGTTAGTGGGAAAATAGCGTAGGGTATCACTTTTGTTAGCCTCGTAAATATTGTCAGAGTTTTTTAATAGATCAATATTGTGAATGTAAAATCTACTTGCTATTTACCGATTTAAAAGACATTTTTTAATCCATTCATTTATTTTATTTCAGTACGAAATACTGTTAATGGTAAGATTTATATTTACTTTTTTTACTCTTACTCTTACTTACTCTTTACTTTTTTTTTCAATCTGAACATCCTGCATTGTGTTACTCATAATTATAATAAAGTTTCAAACCATTTTAACAACATTCACTTGAACAATATGAATAAATTTAAAAACATTCATGTTAAGAATATTCTTTTGTTTTGTATCTTTTAAAAAAAATCAGACAAAAGCATTTTATTCTTAAAGCAATAAGCAACTTTCTTCCTGAAGAAAATTGCGAATTATAGCGACAAATATCAGAAGTATATTCTTCGCTTCATTTGTCACACTGTTAAAAAATTTAACAAAGACTAATCAGAAGTATTTAGATATTTATCAGAATAACAAGTTCCCATGTCTTAAATAGTTTTAGGAATAAATGTAATTTTTTCTGAAATTTTTAACTTACTTGATATATAAATAGGATATTACGGAAAATATGGCAATATTAATGTGTTTTTCTCCACATTCTTATGTATTTCTTCTTATTTATATGACTATGATCTAACTTACTTATCAACAATTAATTTCTTAACATATCTTCATGTCATAAAATTAATTTATCAAAGTTAAATTTTTGTTTTTAGGTGGAGTGGGAAAACGTAAGTAGTATTTATTTAATAATTTTGTTTTTTTTTATTATTTAAAAAAAAATTCTTCAAAGCTTAGTACTTCAATATATTAAATAAATTTTAATTTAATACACAATTTTTCTGTCGATTATGTCTTATGTATCATATCTCTCATTTGAAAATAATAGTATTTACATAATAACAAAGAATTAGTTCAATTAATTTTCACGCCAGAATAACGTGAAAAAGGAAGCAGAAAATTCAGACGGAGATAAAATAATAAATATTAAAGTGTTTCAATAGAAAAATTATTCAGAAAGTAACTATAAAATGTTTATAATTTTCAATATTGAAAAGTTGCATGTTAAGACAATTACAATGGTGAAAAATTAAATTTATTTATTTTATCTAACGCAATAAAATGTTAATGTATTTTGGAATTAAAACGTTTAAGCTTAAAATGATTTTTTATTTTAAAACAATTCCATAAAAGAAGAAAAAATCGTTCATAAAATTGATCGAAAATGGTATGATTAAACGGTTGATCGAAATGGTATGGTTTGATTAAATAATCTTATTATATTTTTGACATATAGCAATAATTGAAATTTTTCATCATAGTTTAATCTATTGAACTCATTGCTTATTTAAACGAATACGCAAATTTAATATTATCACTTGGGATGCAGGAAAATAATAATACTGTCGATAAAAAGAATGACAAAATTATACCGAACTACTAGTTCAGTAAATATCATTGATACGGATAAAAAACTAAAGAATGACAAAATGGAAAAGTATATTTTTCCTCTTAACCAAAATTGATGATAAGTAAATAAATAATAATATTTACCCTCTTCCATTTTATTTTTAAAGGTTCAAAAGTATGTGATCTGTCCCAAAAATGGAATTTTGCGAGGGTGCCATTTTCCTTAAAAATTGGCTTGTATCAGTGATGCTGAATAGTGATACATAATTACTGTCTTTGGTTCTGGGTTTGGCATATAAGTGCATATTAAAAAAATTAAAAAGAACATTAATGGACTAAACTGTAATGTTTATAATACATGATGAATATTCTTTAAAATTAACCTTTTTAAAAAAAATAGATTTGTAATCAAAAAAGAGGAACGAATTAATAAAATTAAATGCCCAGGTGTGTTTTGATTGATTAAAATGAGAATATCTTATATGGGAAAGTTAATTAAGTGAATAAATATTTCAGAACTCTGTTTTAATGCGAAAAATACATTTATATTTGCACATTATTATTATAAATACTTATAATGTAAAATACAACTATTATGTTTTATAGTAATGGGAGCTATAAGCAGTAAGTATTTCATACATTTCATAGAATATCTAAGTTCAACTTAGTAAGTAAAGAATAAGTCAGTTTAATTATATTTTGAATAATAGAAGATAATAATTTTATTATAATTGTGGGATCAATAACATTAAAAAAAACTATAGAAAATTTAGGAAAAATGTGACGAAAGTTTGCCAAAGAAAACATAAGTTAGCATCGTTTTTTCAAGCTCTTTCTCTTAATTAAAATTAAAGAGTCTCAACTTAAGATAAATATACACTTGAGGTACACTTAAAGTAAACTAATATGTAGCATCTAGGTGTGAAGAATTAATACTATAGAACGGAGAAAAAACTTAAATATTTCAAAAGTAATAAAAATATTTTTTTAAAAAAATAGCTTACTTGGCTTTTTTTCACATTTACGTTTTGCGCCATTCTGAAAATTAGTATGGAGAGTGCTGACTGAAGATAGGCGAATTCATTTATAATTTTTTATACTGTAAAATTTACTGAATCAAGTACAAGCATTTTTAGTGTATCATCCGTGAAATACATTTTACAGTGACATAAATTTTGTGAAGTAAAATTTTATACCGTGATTTTGAATGCAATATTTATTTATTACTATAAAAACTACGGTTCATCAGATTTTTGTTTCCATAACATGCTCGTTAAACTGGAATTTACAGTAAATCTATAATGGACTCCACGGAAAATATATGTTGTTGTTTTATCCCCATTATACAATTAAAAATGGAGAAGCAGAAGGGGAGAAGCGTCCTCCCTAAAAAGACCCAGGATGTGCTTTGCAGAGGCTACAGTAAATATATTATGGACACCAGTAAAAAGTATTAAGGATTTTACGGTATTTTTACCATAGTTTCATCTGGAATTTTTTACAGTGAAGGTATGTTTATTCGGTGGTTTTATGCAGGTTAATTTTACAGTGCATAACAAAATTAAAAGAGATTCGATAAAATAAAAGAAAAATAATTTTAATAAGAAGGGAGTCAATGCAATTGTTTAAACACAGTTACTTACGTTTATTCTGATATCTAGGTTGAGTTTCGCAGTGTGTTCTTATTAATGTAACGTAACATTGAATTTATCGGATATCTATAAAAATATTGAAATTCTACCAAATTTTTAATCCGTCCTTTCATTTTGAATATTTAATATTTATTTAATTACTCTTAAATTAAGCTTTTACTCAGTAGAACAATGATTAATATCTGGTTTACTTTTATAGGCCTCACTGATAGTGGAAGTAAGATTTAGTCTTATTAATTTCTTTCTTTATCTACGCTTTGTTATGTTGATATTAAAAGTTACAGTAACTTCAATTTAAATTATCTTTAAATCGCAGTATTATTTCCATTATTATAAAAGGAATGTAACTTCATTTTCTCATTAACATTTTTTAATGTATAAAATTTCGATGGCTGAAAGAAGTAAAAATAAAATGAATTAAAATGAAGCAGACTTCGATTTAAAATTGGTTACTCTATTAATGGCAATAGTTAAATTATATTAAAATGTATACTAAAACAAAACTCGAGTACTTATATTTGGCGTAATTAAATTAACAATGTTAATGAAAACATACCTTTAAAAATGAAATTTTATATAAATTTAAAAATATTTTTTAAGGTCTTCATTAAATACTAAGTATTTTTTAAAAATTTCAATTATTATTTTCATTAAAAATAATAATATATTTGATTTTCACATGCACTTGCTTAAAATTTTTATTACACTAAATTTTTATATATCTTTTTAGAAAAATTCAAGCAAAACATACATTTTTAAATTTTAATAAATTTATTCAGTAGCCAAAGCGTTTTTTCGAAGAACATTTTGAACACTCTGTCATTTTGATCAGATATAAAAATAATATTCTTATAATTACTGTTTATTTAATTTTAGACATTTTTTCCTCCTTCCTTCTGTCTGTTTAATAATATCTTAATAAAAATTTTCCTAAGTTTTAATCTGTCTTTTAATATTTATTTAAATTCTCTTTTAATCAAATTAAAATTATTCTAGCTGCTCTTGGACCAGTAGGTAAGTTAGAAAATATTTTATTATTTAAGGCAGATTTCCAAAACTTCAGATTGATGCATGGTACCATTTTATAAAGAAAAGCACTTGTTTAAAGCAATCATGGAAAACATGCATGCATCGTCTCAAATAGAAAACTTCGATTCCTTATCGTGTTGTTAATCATAGCTGCTAATATTTGGAAAAAAAATCATAGAAAACAAAAATTAGTCAAAAAATAATGTAACACATTTTGCTGTAATAATTATGCCCTCAGTAACTATTAAATTTCAAATGTAAACTATAATAATGTAAATAATGTAAAATAATAAATATCAGTATTTAATTATATAAAATGGAAAAATGGGCTTGTCTTTCCAAAATCACAAATACAAATCCTGATCAAGCTGATAATAGAACCTGAAAAGCAATTATAAAGGAATAATATAATTAAATATTAAAAATATAATTTGAAATAAATTATTTTAATAATCTGTCCACTACATTTTTCGTTTTATCTTCGATTTCTCTAATGAGTTTCTTTGTTTTACAATTTTACATAATAATAAACGATATACTAATCAACCATGTTTAATATAATCGGAATATTAACTCGAATTTGAAAAATTAAAAAAATTTAATATTTCAAAACAAATGTATAATTATTGTTTGTTAATGTTATTCGACAATTGTAATAAATTAATGCTAAATTTGTTAAAAATATCTAAAAAAAAGTTTTTATTTAGAATCTGTTTATTTACTTTTATTTTATAAGAAAAGGAAATGCATTGCTTTAACAAACGTGTGCATACTAGAAAAAAATGTTTTAATGCTCAACTGGAAGAGTTTTAAGAATATGATCTGAAGCCTCAATATATACAGACATTAATGCATACTTTATTTATATTTCAGGTGGATTAGTGAACGGTAAGATTTTAACTCAAAAATGTATCATTAGAAATTCAAACATATATATGGAAAATATATATTTCAGTTTAATTAAAAAATATAAATAATTTAATCCAATTCATGTAAAAAACAATTATTATTGCTTAATTATATATTTCCTTTTATTAGCTGTCGGCCATGCTGGTAAGTAACGTTTTTGTACAAGCAATTTTGTTTGTTTTTTTAATTCCGATATTTAGTATTATGAAAGCATTTTTTTCACTTAAGCTTCATACTTATCATTTTAAACTCAAGTATATAAAATAATTTTTCTTTTTAGAAATTAAATGACAAATATGAATATATATAATTAGTTTTTGTTATCAATGATATGTCTGGGTTAGATGGTCAAAGGAAGAGAGATGGCCAGTTTAAATATCTCCTTTATTTGTTAATATATGTAGCCGATGCAGCTTTAAAGGAAGCAGTTTAATTTGTTTTTCGTTTTAGACAAAGTGCTTTTTTCGACATCGAAAAATATGAAAAGGTTTAATTTTGACTTTATTAAAATATTTTTTGAATTACGTATTTTGTTGTTTTTCAATAAGCTAATAATATGTTTTCAATTAGTTGGTTCTGTAAGGCATATATATGTATACCACAATCTTTGTTCCCGAGTAAAAAGCAAAGGTATATTAACAGCAGAATGACATAATAAATTCGATGACCATCTCATCTTCAGCATTATCAGAAACGGCCACATAAAATCGAGGAGTGCTACTACTTTTCATTTATGTGTACAGTCAAATCAAGAATCATAGGGTCCTTAAATGTTTGAAATTGGTGAACAAAAAATAAGAAATTAAGATGTATTTTAGTCAATTCATATTCACCACGATGATTAATATNTTTGAATACAATGCAACTTTCATCTCATTATTATGAACTATTTCAGGCGGTCATCTCATTCAAGGTAAGCATTTCAAAATTGTTTTTAACTTATGCACTCATATAAGTTTGAAAAGTATTATAATATACAAATGGTGATTAATAGTTTATTTAATTTTAGTTAGGTACATATAAGATTTGTTATCAAACTTAAAATATGTAATAACCAAAATATGAGTTTTGCTATGAGTTTTGGAAGATTTTTGCTTTCTGAAATCATGTAGTTTTTTTTAATGTCTCAACATGAAATGATAGTTTCAGTTTTCAATATGAAAAAAATAACAACATAAAAAAGCTATAATCTTATCTCATTTAAATTTAGCATGAAAGAATACGGTTAATTTTAAAAAAAGACCTTAATATTGGCATTATGATGATGATTATTAATTCTAGTACACTTTGTGCTATTATAGTTATAAAAATTTGTCTACATATTGCATTTATGCTAAATATCATTTTCGATGTTTGTATCACATATATAAACACTAAATAACAAATTAAGGACATTAATAAATATATTAAATTCAATATTTGGTCTTTAATTTGGTATAGCAGTGAGACTGATATAAACGTGACTGGAACTTACAAGTATGTAAACTGACAGCTAAAAATAGATAGCAAGAAAATAATTATTCAGAAAATTAATGATAGATTAATGAGCATAATAAACATCTACTCTTAGAGATTTCTAGCAATACAAAAACAAAACCTTTTTTTTAACAAAAATAAATTTGATTCTTTAGGAAAACTGAATGAAAGTAAGTTTGGTTACAAATTTTTCTGCCATTTATAGTATATTGAATTTCATATATGTTAATTATTTCATTCATTTTGAAATTCCAACTACATATAATTTAAAAAAAAATTTAATCATAAAAATGTCTTATATTACATTAATATAGTCTTATTTTTCATACGATAAAATTGACTTAACTTTCAAATAATTCTTATAAACTTTATTAAATAATGAAGTGTATAAAATGTAGCTGCTGATTGAAATCATCCATTTTTCAAAGAATTAAAAAGACAAAGAATCAGATTTCATTAAAATTCAGCTCAATTTTTTTTTTAAAATTTGCAATTTGTAAATGTTCGCATTTGTAAATGTTTGCATGTTTCGTTTTCATATCCCAGAAATAAATTAATATTTTAATAAACGAATGCGCAAATTAGTATAATTGGTTTAACATTGAAATATTAAAATGTATTAGAAAAAAATTTCAAATAGACATTGTCTGTTCAAAGATCGTAAATAATGCTTACAAGTTTGTATAAATATCACTTGTATTAATATAATTTTTATTGCCTAATAGGCTGCAGTTCAAACTAATTAATATTTCATTTCGTACTTAATAATCGAAATAATATAATTTGATTTGCAAATATTATTTAAATGTAAATTAAGCAGTCATGTATTAAATTTCAATACCATTATTCATTTTTAGTATAACAAACACTAGATTAAAATATATGCTTATTTATTACAGTTGATTTCATGGTAAATGGTAAGTTTTGATTATTCTAATAATGACAAATAAAACTTACTTTCTAAAGCGTGGAATTCAATATAAATCAACTGTACCGATTCATATAGTGTTACGCTAATATACATATGGTGTTAATAGCTTTTACTAATGTATAAATAAAAAAATAAAATAAAAAAGTTAGTACAAAAAAATTAAAAGTGTTCGACTTTTATCGAATTGCCCAAAAGTATATGTTAAGCAAAATCCACAGAATAGACAATAAAAGGCATAACAGACATGGACACACCTTTAAAATAGAAAATAATATCAAATAAATGTCCATAGATTATTTTGTTTTTAATAATGTATTACTTAGGTCACATGGATGTCAATAATATGATGTTTGATTATCTTCTTCACTGCAAAAAAGCTACTTTTTTTCTGCCTTTAAATTACTTAAATTTTTTTTTTAACTTTAATGAAAAAAATTCATTTTCTTGCAATATTTGAATACTTCGTAATCCCAAATATATGATATTTACGCAAACCAAAAACGTATTTTTGATGCAAAAGTATTATTTAAAATTTTGTAGTAAGTAATTAATAGAATTTGTACAATTTGAAAATAAAGGGGAAAAACCGTCAGAGAATGTTTTTTAATACTTTTATTTTTACTATATTTATTTTTAATTAACTTGTTTTTCATAAACTTACTTTCCAGATGCTGCTTGTGGACGTAAGTAATTTCATTTATTTTTATTTAAACCTTTTGAAATCTTTAAAATAATATACAAGCTTAGATAACCGACAAAAAAAAATTGTCTGGCTTTGAGTGTTCTGGAGATTACTGCTCAAAGGGCTACTTTTTTTTTCTTCTTTTTTTCATTGAGTTTTTTTCCCCTTTTTTTTGTCAGAAATAATACTTCTAAGCCACTAACATACCTTAATGGTTACCTTCAGATTGAATTAGCAGAATTAATGCCTCGATGATAAAAGATTCATTTGTCGAATAACAGTCGCTAAAAAGTAACTGTCCTTTTCCAAGACTCACAACACGGGAATGAGTTAAACAAAAGTATATTGAAACAACAAAAAAACAACAACATAAAGCTGCTATGGGGTTGCCGGTGGAGTTGTTATGGAGCAGTCGATTTTACATAGTAGACGATTTTACGTAATGTTTAAGTAATCCAATGTCCTTGGTTCGATCCCTGGTCAGTGTGATTTTTTCATGGTCCAAAGGGAAGGCAAATTGATCACGGCATTTTCTTCTTTTATTTTGCTTTGGTTGAAATGAATGTAAAATAATTTTATGAGCTGGCTGATGCACAAAACTAGCAAGGCATATCACGTAGGTCCAGGTCCTCCCTGTGTGCTCCGGGTAGAAAAAATCATACTTTACGTAAGCATCTTAAAGTTGTTGAAAATGTAGTGCAATTTATGATTAATGATAATTAAAATATTACTTAAATATTTAAATAAAAATGAAAAGAATGTTATGTGAGATCTGCAATCTGGTAGCACACAGGGAGAGAGAGAGAGCAAGCAACAGCAGGGGAAGGTATCAACCTTTGCTGAGAGTTCCACGGGAAATACTGGTCTATCTCCAAAAGATGACGCCCCCTTTTCAGCGGTTGCGAGAATCTCCAAAGTCAATGCGCTAGGAGCCGAGCCCTAGAGATCTCGCAAAGGCTAAAGACGACAAAGAGGGTGCTTTAATTGGATACAGCCCAGTAGGGAATTGGAATAACAAGCACTGTGATGATCACATCACAAATTCCACTCTTGAAGGGAATAAAATATTCTTACTTACCCCCTTAAATGAGAAAAAACTTAAATTACTTCTCTAAATGTAGAAACTAAATCCATTTTTTTTAATTACCTTGAAGTTTTACCAAATACCAGTTATGAAGTTAAAAAACAACATCATACATGCATATTATGTTCAACATAAGAATCTTCATTAATCACATTCATTAAATAAATATGTAGCTACACAAATGTCTTTTATGTACACAAATTTTTATCATCTGACATTGCTTGGGCTCTAGTGCGCAGGTAAATAAAATACAATAACAAAATACAACAAAATACTCAGGTTTTGAAAAATGAAAAATGGCTTATTAAAAAAACCAGTTTTGTTTCACAGATTCGTTTTTCACCTTAATTATAAATTTTTCGCTTGAAAATTTACGTTTTTTCCCATTTATTTATCATTTACTTATTGTTTTTTCACTTATTATTATTATTCACTTATTTATTTTCATTCATCTTTCTTTTCAAATGACTTTTGTTTTCTATATTCACATCTGGTGAGATTTGAGAATGGGCGTCTATTTTTGAGCTCTCAAACCTGTGACTTTCTTTACCATCTTCATATATATATATATA